TAATAACTCTACCATACACTTTACCAGGTATACTCAACAGACTTATCCCCCTATAATTTTTGCACTCTCTTTTGTCCCCTTTGCCTTTATACAAAGGAACTATGCATGCTCTCTGCCAATCCCTAGGTACCTTACCCTCTTCCATATATTTATTAAATAATTGCACCAACCACTCCAAAACTATATCCCCACCTGCTTTTAACATTTCTATCTTTATCCCATCAATCCCGGCTGCCTTACCCCCTTTCATTTTACCTACTGCCTCACGAACTTCCCCCACACTCACAACTGGCTCTTCCTCACTCCTACAAGATGTTATTCCTCCTTGCCCTATACACGAAATCACAGCTTCCCTATCTTCATCAACATTTAACAATTCCTCAAAATATTCCCTCCATCTTCCCAATACCTCTAACTCTCCATTTAATAACTCTCCTCTCCTATTTTTAACTGACAAATCCATTTGTTCTCTAGGCTTCCTTAACTTGTTAATCTCACTCCAAAACTTTTTCTTATTTTCAACAAAATTTGTTGATAACATCTCACCCACTCTCTCATTTGCTCTCTTTTTACATTGCTTCACCACTCTCTTAACCTCTCTCTTTTTCTCCATATACTCTTCCCTCCTTGCATCACTTCTACTTTGTAAAAACTTCTCATATACTAACTTTTTCTCCCTTACTACTCTCTTTACATCATCATTCCACCAATCGCTCCTCTTCCCTCCCGCACCCACTTTCCTGTAACCACAAACTTCTGCTGAACACTCTAACACTACATTTTTAAACCTACCCCATACCTCTTCGACCCCATTGCCTATGCTCTCATTAGCCCATCTATCCTCCAATAGCTGTTTATATCTTTCCCTAACTGCCTCCTCTTTTAGTTTATAAACCTTCACCTCTCTCTTCCCTGATGCTTCTATTCTCCTTGTATCCCATCTACCTTTTACTCTCAGTGTAGCTACAACTAGAAAGTGATCTGATATAAATGCACTTATATAAATACACTTACATAATTGGTCACATTAGGAGGTGATCGTTAAGTGGGGGTCCACTGTATTAGGATTAGTTTGCCCGAAATGCCTCGGCATGATAGTGGCTATCTTTGTACTTAGCACATCAAAATTGTAATTACACATTGTAACCTTTACTAAGAAATAAACTTTACTTTACTTTACTAGTGATGGCAAGAATTTGTTTTCTCTAGTCCAACACCAGAGAAGCTGTGTACTGGGGTAGCTGTACAAAAATATTTCTCACGTATATCTTCACTTGTAACGTAATACGCTTTAAAAATGGTGTGTTGCATGAGAATGGAAGTGTTGCTGTTATTTATTCTACTGCACCAACGTGAAGACAACGTGTACACAATGTAAGGTGTTCGTATTGTGTGGAAAAACCTTCCTAAAAGTATGCATAATGCAAAATGAACATGTATGAACAAAGTGGACAGGTCTTAATATGCATATGTCTGACTGCCCTCAGTTTGTTTACATTCTTTGCATCTCTCATTCTGTCTCATGCTTTCTTGTATCTGTTCTCGTACTTTGATTTCATCATCCCAATTCAGCCACTCAGTAATATGCAGGACATTGAATGTAACCTGTCTCATCATACTTAATTTGTAATGAATTACCCAAGATATACTAACTTAAATTTTATGCTGGATCTAGATATTAATAGTAAGTAAACCTTATTAGTTTGTCTAAAATACATTTGCATAATTAGTGGCTTTCTTCGAAGCTTTATCTTGTATCAAATTATATCTTTATTATAATAATAAAACTTAGTGTAATAATTTCAAATGTATGATTACTCTGTTTGTATTGCCCTAAAGAAAGAAATTATTTTAATTAATTTTTTTGTCACAGAACTTCATAATCATCTGATAGTCAGCTATTGTAAACAGAGCTGTAACTTTTCCATTTGTGAACCCTTCAAGGAAGGTGCCTTGATGCTGATGAAAGACCTCTTGATTTAGGGAATTGGAACTACCCATCACTTCTTCAGATTAAACCTTATTGCCTCCCATTTCCCAGGAGCTGTATAGTCCCTACAGGTTTAGCACTTCCCCATAAATACAGTACTGTACAACAACAATTTACCTGTGTGCAGGAGGCACTGATCAAGGTGAATCACAATTCTAATCATTTCGTCATTCCCAGTCAGTTACTTAACTGTAAATCTTATGCTCACTGGAGAATGCCAAACCCATATGGATCATGCAACAGCTGGTGGGTATATTAATCAGACTTATTACCATTGATGTGTGCTACTTTAACCTTGTGCAGTAGTTATTTTTTATTTGTATATGACACTTTTGGCTTGAATGTATTAGCATATGGTTATACTATTGCCATATATTTGTTGAGTGCCCTAGACCTCCATGGGCAATGGGAAAGTAATTGGATTTGATACAAAGACTGGGAGAGGTAGCGTAATTTTTTATCAGAAATGCTTTAATTGACTTCATAGATTAAAGCACTTTGCAAATCTCTTAATTCCTTTTTTATATATAAACACTCACTCATAAAAGAACCAAAGCTATCCAACACAGTGAAACCCCCTCAAGGGATGTTACTTGATGCCAGTAAGGAGCTCATCTAAGGAATTGGACCTGTGCAAGGCAGGTCTTCCTTTGTCTGATGAAGGGCTTTTGATCTAAGGACTTGGATCTGTGATCCTCTTCCTTGAATCAAACAATGTTTCTCATTCCCCACAGGTTAAACACTCCCATATCCGCTTAAAAAATATTTTAAGATTCAAGGTCATTGAATACACGTCTTATATTTATAATTTATTTACGTTTTGCAGAAGGCTGACAGTCTTACATGCAGCTGCTGACATCTGCAACATAAATAGCAAGTGTTGGACTCGCCTTGACAGCTGTGAGCATAAGATCCTCCCTTATCTGCAATGAAGGCTCATCTACAGCAAAGTGAGAGTTCACCCTCACCACATGATTAGCAAGGTCATCCTCATTTTGCAATGAAGAAGTTCACCCTCATCACTTGAGTAAGTTTGTCATTTATAATCATGAACAATTGTTTCATCAAAATTGAAGACAACCACAACAGCTGTTTGATATTTTGTTAAACTGCCTTGTAATTGTCTACTCTTGAATACATGCCTGTTACATCCCAAAACTGAATGCTGTATAAACAGAATTACTCAGGGTATGTGAAGGAGAATTAGCAGACTGATTTTTAAGCTTTCAGTTTTTTTTCACAAGTTCCTAACACAAGTAGACAAGAGGAATGCTACAGCTGTGAAGTGGTTTTTGACTTGCTGGAGAAGTGACAATACTGATAAGTACATTGGACTGGGTGACAGAGGGAGAGAGATGGACAGAGATCATATTTAAGTTATGCAGGTATTAGTACAGAAACTAAACTGTCTTGCATCAATATATAAAGATCTGTTTTATGATACAAATATACAGACACTAACATAAATGACAGGTGAATGCAAAAAAAAAAAAATGCTGCTTTTTATTATTGAATATATTAATCATCAAACACTTAAATTTTTTTTAATTAGTTGTGGTTAAGCTTTAAACAAGTTTCATAATCTTTACACATTTTGCATTCACCATATATTCTATTACACATTCATTCTACAATAATAAAGTTTTTATTTGGGAAAATTAAGTTCTCAATAACACTAACCAATATTGTACAGAAACCTGTGTATTAACAAGCTAGAATTTATCAATCTCATACTGGTATAACTTTAATAAATAACTTTTTGATCAAAATACGAATGTATACATGACACTACAGTACTTTCAACCACATTTTCTGGAGTTACAGCACAGAATCAGAAATTTATCAGGTAAATCTGACTCATTTTAATTGCAAATAGCTGTAATATAAATTATATTATTTATCTTTACATAATATTTACCATTTCATAATAAACTTATCAAACTCTTCTTACAAATTATCTTTTGTGCATGCTTTTAAAGAACTAAGCAAGTATCATGTATACTTTTCACCTCTACAAAACATGTGTTATATGGTAATTATTAGTTACTGGACCAGTCTTAAGTACTCTTATCAATGAGAAGAGAGTTTACTCAGCTGATGACACAAACATTGACATTCCAATATGTCAAACTATCTTTTTAATACTTCAAATACAGCATTCTTACTCTCAGCCAAATTTTACAAGCAAGAAACTTTTTTCTTTCAGTGCCATAGTCAGCACATCCTGTAGCACCTAACACTCATACTCACTGAATGATTTATACAAGATAAATTCTAGAGTGCTCTTGTTAGAATATAAAAGAAATTTGTCTTAACCCCCTTATGACTTCTGTATTTGTAATGCCATCATATGTAACAGCTTATTTATAATGCCATGTCTAACACCTTACAACCTCCTTACTTGTAATGCTATCATAATTACTGACAGATCTCTAGTGACAACACTAGTTTTCATTGCCAGTTTGTAAGTGGTCCAAGACTACCTTGTCAATCAGTTGTGGTGATCACTATGCAAGTTCTGAAAAATGAAAGGTTACAAATGCTATGATGAAAACAGTATTTGATATAATCTGTTGATGAAATTATTGACTAAATCAATTTATAATAATGAGTGCCTGATAATTCTGCAAGTGACAATCTGCTTCATATGGAAAATTATACAGTATATAAAAACAGATAAATATACAAACATGAAGATATATCATACCTCCAGAATTATCAAGATTATACTGAATAAGAAATTTGCTACTGACGTAAAAGCATGCGTGTTAGAATAATTAGAGTATGCTGACTTTGAATCCAAAAACTTATGTTAACCAAACACTAAGCATTTTTAGCTGCAAAAAAAAAAAAATGGAAATAGGTTTTGAATATTGCTGATGCATTTACGTCAGTTGAGCAATAAAACGTTTGAATTTTAATGTGACTGATTAAAAATAAAATACTACTGTACTGGAAACAATGTGTATTTCTGTAACTAAAAATTCTGACTTCAGATTTCAAATTAGCATACTAAGATTAATGAGCAACAGGTACATTTACCTCAGTAGGAGGGCTTTTTTTTTTTGTTGACAGTGGACAATAGTTTGCATAAGTGATACTTTAAATTATTAGGTAAAAGCCATTCTTAGGTCATATAAAACAATTAGAAAATGTTAAGCAATGGTAAAAAATATTACATAGTTCATTGATGCAACTTGTTACAACTTTCTGTATCAAGCATTCTTATTATAAATTGTACAAGTCATGAATGTCTGTCACATACTGCAAGTTCTTGAATAACATTTTGTTATAATGATGAAAAAAAAATTTATTCCTAGCCGTGGCCACTGTCTGTGGGGGGACGGTAAAATAAAAATTTGTAAAGTATACAATAATACAAGTGGCAGTAAATGGTGCTGTATGAAAGTACTCAGCGAGTCTGTCATATTTGTTATTGTGGTGGTAGGAGGTGCTCCTTACAATTTTCCCTTTGCAAACATTTATTCCTGAATTTAACCCTGTTGCAGCGAGTGCCTAAGGTGCATGTGCACCCCTGATGTCTGTGGCCACAAAAAAAAAAAAATGTGACAGAGACAAAATTAGAAGTTGTAAAGAGGTTTGATGATGAACAGCGAGGTGTGATTTTGTTATACGTCATTTCACTTAAAGTTGCAGTTTCCAAAAACCTATTGACAACGTTAAGTGAGGACTTATTGTACTGCTTGATTGGTTTCAAATATGCTGAAAAACTAGCAATCAGGGTATTATGATGGCAGAATATATAAGCATTTTTCATTGTAGAATTCAGCATTTATGAAGTGCAATTGTAAAAAACTAAATACTGTACTGTACTAAATAGTAGCAGTAATAATTGCATTGCCCTTGTGTCTCATAATTGCTAATGTAATATTCTTATGGTTGAGCCAAATGCATCTCTACAGTAAGTGCAAAGTTTTCAGCTGTAGCATTAGTATTCTACTGTTACATGTCTCTAGAAACACCAACTATTTTCCTCTGCTTCCTCCCAATTTCATGTCAGAGGTCATAGGAGGAAATTAGTATAAAAATTATTACTACATACATAATTCAGTGTATCTTTTTATAAAATATCTTTAGCACTGTATTAACACGAATGGTACATTTACACATGAATACATCAAGTTTCAACAATTACAGTACTGTACTTATTACTATTCTATTGTAACAGCAAATCCCTACTAATTATATTTCACATCACTTAAACTGTAAATATTGAGGTATAATATAAAACGTGGAAGTTTTTATTTAGCAGACTGCCTCTTAGAGCAAGACCACCTATATTTGAGAGAGAATTACCCACTGTTGATTGGAGAACTGTTTCTTTCCTTGAAATGTGAATTGCTTCCTATTTACCTTCAGTAAATATACATTCAGAAAATATACATTTTTAGCGAGATGATTTAGAAATTTGGTCGCAGGTAAAATGCGAGTTTAAAAGTGAATTCTGTGCAACTTTTGCTGTATAGCCAAAAATATGCAGTTGAAAATTCTGATTGACTGCAGCTGAAGAGCCAGTCATGAGCACTACTAAGTTGGTACTACTGCATATTAACATATACCTAATTTATTTGGCAATATGTATGTCAAGCATTTGTAGTCAGTAATTTGACTGATGTGTCTTAACAGCGAATCCATAACCATGTACATACTTACTGGGTAAACTTAGATATTAACTTGTAAAAATGCGTCCTCATTCTACCCGAACATTAATATGTATCATTAAATGTCTTTAATATCCCATAAGTAATTAAGGTGTAAGATACAGAAGTGTAGTAAATAAAATGTACTGTACAATATATGTTATGGCAAGATACACTAATTATTGATTTGGAATAATCATGGAAAATATGATCTCTTAGTGATTAACAGAACTGTTGTATTATAGGCCACACTTTTGGATTATCTTTACTTTGATAAGATCAACAAGCATTGATCCACTTGTTATAACATTTTGACTAGTTGGCATAATTACTGGTATGAAAGAAACTTGTTTTATGGTGTTACAGATCAACTTAGGGCTGATGTGAAGCTGAAAATATAAAATTTAAACAAACACTAAATATATAATTTGGATTGCAATGGTGTCAAATTTAGCCTTAATTGTGCTATATTTGACTTAATAAAGATTATGGTACATATACTTAACTAAACAAGTCTCTCAATCATTTTTCAGGCAGCACACTTCAACTATGTTACACCATATACAATGATGATGTGTGTACTCTTTAGCCATGCTACATTTATGACTGAAAAGTTCCCTTCAATCCTTTTTCTAAATTGACTTTTTTAGTACTGGGTAACCCATCATGTAAATATTCAAATTATCAAGAATCAATGAGATTGAGAGTACAGTACATATATAATTCTTATAAAACTTTTCCTACACTATATTAAAGTTGTGTGGGCGTCCTTGTGTAGTTCAAACTCATTTTGAGCTGTTTTGTTTTGCTATTAGACACACTTATTTTGAGTGATACCAAAGTTTTGAGAACCACTGACACATTTGTATAGGTGATATTTGACTGTTATCATTTGAGAAGTACTGTACTACTGCACTAAATGCCAGTTGTAAGTTGGTAGAGAAATGTAAGAACTGCCAAATTACTGCACATTATGTACATAGATATTCTGAGTAATGTGCCAAACATTCAGATGTCAATAACAGGTTGTTGCACTAAATACCATAGGTAATGGGCATTCCCTTCTCAGTACAAATTAATCTCCTAAAACATATTTGAGATGTGAATGGATTTTATAATAACTTCTGACAGCCTATAGCTGATACCTGTAAGGAACGGAGGGTGGTGGACATTACATTATCTCGTCCCCATAATATATCCCAGATATGTCCTCTTCCTCAGGCACTGCTTGGAGCCTAAGAGGGTCAGGAACTCAGGGCAGCCATCACTGGCAACTACATGATGTGACACTCATCTTTGGGTAGTTCTTGAGAACAAAAACATTATCACTATTCAGGAATAGGATGGAGATGGAGTCAAGTTTGTCAGGGACACAGCATGGGGCGGGCACTTCTGGGCGTCCTCCCATGGAATATATCAGGGACTGGATGATGGCATGGTTACTGCCACTCAAACTCTGTAGGGAAGGGGGGGGAAAGGTCATTAAAAAACTATATTACAGGAGAAAGCTGTCATAGCATAAATGGGGAAAAAAAAAGTAAAGACTGTACTGCAGCTCAAAATTCACTTGGCTGACAGGAATATACAGCACAAGCAGAAAACAATCAATGATACTGCACATAATACATATGCATATGTAGTAAACACTGAGCAAAAGCACAAAATAACCCACAAGAAAAAACTTATTCTCTCTGTGTCAGTATCTCCATGCGAGTTTGAATAAATATAAATTATACAGTGGACCCTCAGTTGATGTCATCGGATAACGTAAAAATTGGATTACGACATGTTTGTGTCAAAATATTGGCTCGGTTAACGACAAAGAACTCGGGTAAAGTCATTTGGCCCGAACATGTCCACATGTCGTGAGCAGCCCGGCCACTCCATGTACAGCCAGTGTGCCATTGTTTACAAGCCAGTGAGGACGATTCCACATGTACATGCGATACATATTTTATTATTCCATTGTTTTTAGCACTTGTAACTGATAATTATTATTATAATCAAAAAGAAGTGCTAAGCCACAAGGGCTATGTACAGCGCTGCAGGGTAGGGAAGGAAGCGAGGGTATTGGGCGGCAGAAGGGAGGAGGGATGATCAGTAGGTTACAGAAAACAGCGGGGCAGGGGATAGTATGGTGGTAGAGGGTAGCAAGAGATTGAGGTGGAAAGGGCTGAAGGTATCAGAATTTGTGAAGTAAGTCAGTTGTTGTCAAAAAGTCAATGAGAGAGTTCAGATGAAAGGTGGGTCCATCAGCGAGAAGGGAAGGTAAAGAGAGAGCAGCGGAGTGAAGACGACAACGGAGGTAAATTCTGCGTGCTCGTTGATAAAGTGGGCAGTCCAACAGAATGTGGTAGACTGATAATGGAGCCTGGCAATTCTCACAGAGAGGAGCAGGGCGCCTCTTCATGAGATATCCATGAGTAAGACGAGTATGGCCAATGCGAAGACGGGAGAGAGTAGTCTCCCAACCTCAACACTGGTGATAAGAAGATGGCCAGTAACCTATACTCGGTTTAATAGATTGAAGTTTGTTACCGAGCATAGCAGACCAACGTTGTTGCCAATGGGTGTGAAGGTGGGAAGATATTGCAGCAAAATAGTGAGTAAATGGAATACCTCTATACGAAACTGGTAGGTCATGTACTGCTGACCGCGCAGCAGTGTCTGCCTGTTCATTGCCCTGTACGTCAACATGACCAGGGACACAACAAAAAACTATCTTTATGCTTGGTAAAGATGCGGCGTAGCCAAAGTTGGATATGGAGGACTAAGGGGTGAGGTGTATCAAATTTCTGTATAGCCTGTAAAGCACTAAGGGAATCTGAGACAACCACAAATGATGACACAGGCATAGATGCAATACGGATAAGTGTTGCAAGGATGTCATACAATTCAGCAGTAAAAATACTAGCCGAAGATGGTAAATGCCCTCGTACGACGCTGTCCTGAAACACTGCTGCGAATCCTACACCGTCAGAAGACTTAGAGCCATCTGTGTACACAGCAATGGCATGAGAATGAGAGTGGAAGTGGTCAAGAAAAAGAGAGCGGGAAGCGACCGTAGACAGTTGGGCTTTCGAGCAAGGGAGAGAGAAAGAACAGGCTCGAACAGCTGGAACTTCCCAGGGGGGTAGGGAAAAGTGAGATGCTACATGAACATAGAAAGGTGGTAATTGAAGAGAAGACGAGCGAATGAAGGCAAAGAGAGAAGGGACGGAGTAAACGGCGGCGAACAAATAATGTCTACTAATATCAGTGACCATTCTATAAATGGAAGGATTGCGGAGATCATGAGAGCGTACATAGTAGCGAAAGCAATGGGCATCACGGCGATCGGATAAGGATTGAATGTTCACTTCTGCAGAGGCTCTCAACAGGGGAAGAGCGAAAAGCACCAAGGCATAAACGTAATCCTTGGTGATGAATGGGGTTAAGGCTAGAGAGAGTAGCAGGAGATGCCGCTGAATAGATCTGGTCACCATAATCAAGTTTCGATAAAATGAGGGTGGAATGTAGGCGAAGGAGGGTTTGACGATCAGCTCCCCATGAAAGATGAGCAAGGGTTTTAAGAAGGTTCAGCCAGCTGTGACAAGTTGCCTTCAGAGAGGTAATGTGAGGTTTCCAGGATAACCTACGGTCAAAGAGGAGGCCCAGAAACTTGACTATCACGTTCAGGGATACGGGAGCCATAGAGGTACAAAGGATGATCGGAGATGACAGAGCATCTAGTGAAAGTAATTTGGTGGATTTTAGTGCTGGAAAATTTAAACCCATGTATGGTGGCCCAATTGGAAACATGGTCAACCGCATGCTGGAGAGAAACTGTAATGAGGTGACAGTCAGCGCCTGCACAGGCAATAGCGAAGTCATCAACATAGAGTGATGACCAAATATTTGATGGAAGACTAGAGGCCAAATCATTAATAGCAAGGAGAAAAAGTGTTGTGCTCAGAGCACATCCCTGGGGGACACCTTCAGCTTGGATAAAGTCCGGGGAGAGCACATTATTAACCCGAACACGGAAATGTCTATCAGTTAAAGAGTTCTTAAGGAAGGATGGTAGACTGCCTCAGAGGCCTAAGGAGTGGGCTTGGGCCAAAATATTATACCTCCAAGTTGTGTCATATGCCTTCTCAAGGTCAAAAAATATGGCAATAACTGAGTGGTTATTCGCAAAGGCATTACGAACATACGTATCCAAGCGTAGTAAGGGGTCTATGGTAGAACGTCCCTTACGAAAGCCATATTGACGAGTGGAGAGACTGTTGTGTGTCTCTAAATACCACAGAAAGGGAGAACAATGGCAGATTTCCACAGCTGTGGAAGAACTCCTTGTGACCAAATAAGATTGAAAAGGCATAATAGGACTGCAAGGGCTGACTGATGTAAATGTTGTAGCATACGAATATGAATGTCGTCGGGCCCAGCTGCCGATGATCGGCAAGCTGAGAGTGTTGCCTCCAGTTCTTGAAGCGTAAAAGGCACATTATACTGTTCTTCTCTGAGAGAAGAAAAGTCCAAGGGTGCTAACTCTCTGGCAGACTTCGAGGAAAGAAACAAGGGGCATAGATGGAGCCCCTGAGAAATACGGACCAGATGATTGCCAATTTCAGTGGCAACATCTAGTGGGTTTGCTATATCAACACCGGCAACCCGCAGAGCAGGAGCCGGGTCAAGAGAATATTTACCACTCAGTTTTCGTACTTTTTTCCAGACTGCACTCATAGAGGAAGCAGAGGTGATGGTGGAGACAATCTCGCCAGCAAGTGCGTTTAGCGTCACGGATGACACGGCGAGCGATCGCACGCTTCTGCTTAAAATCAAGAAGTCTCCGTGGTTCTATTGTACCGGTACCTGCCCCATGCAGCGCGTTTCAAACGTACTGCAGGAGCACAAGCAGGAGACCACCAAGGCACGCATTTCTGAGAATGCCTGCCCAAAGTTTGGGGTATAGAATGAGAAGCTGTGGAGTAAATCAGTCGTTGTCAAGAAGTCAATGAGAGAGTCAGGATTAAAGGAGGGTCCATCAGCAAGAAGGGAAGGTAAAGAGAGAGTAGTAGAACGAAGACGACGTTGGAGGTAAATTCTGAGTGCTCGTTGATAGAGAGGGCAGTCTAACAGAATGTGGCTAATCGATACTGGAACTTGACACTGCTCACAGAGAGGAACAGGGTGCCTCTCCATGAGATACCCATGAGTAAGACGAGTGTGGCCAATGCGAAGGTGGGAGAGTGTGGTTTCCCAACCTCGGCACTGATGACAAGAAGACGGCCAGTAATCTATGCTCGGTTTAATAGAATGAAGTTTGTTACCGAGCAGAGTTGACCAACGTTGTTGCCAACGGGTGCGAAGGTGGGTAGCTATTGCAGCAAAATAGTCCAGAAATGGAACACCTCGATAGGAAATTGGTAGGTCATGTACTGCTGACCGCGCAGCAGTGTCTGCCTGTTCATTGCCCTGTACGTCGACATGACCAGGGACCCAACAAAAAACAATATCTTTATGTTTGGTAGAGATACGGAGTAGCCAAAGTTGGATACAGAGAACTAGGGGATGAGATGTATCAAATTTTCGTATAGCCTGTAGAGCACTAAGGGAGTCTGAGACTACTACAAATGATGACACAGGCATAGATGCGATACGAATGAGTGCTGCATGAATGGCATACAGTTCAGCAGTAAAAATGCTAGCTGAAGATAGTAAATGCCCCCGCACGACGCTGTCCGGAAACACTGCTGCGAATCCGACGCCGTCTGAAGACTTAGAGCCATCTGTGTACACAGCAGTGGCATGAGAATGTGACTGGAAGTGATCAAGAAAAAGAGAGCGGGAAGCCACAGTAGGCAGTTGAGCTTTCGAGCAAGGGAGTGAGAAAGAACAGACCCGAACAGCTGAAACTTCCCAGGGGGGTAGGAAAAAGTGAGATGCTACATGAACATATAAAGGTGGTAACTGAAGGGAAGACAAGAGTGAATGTAGGCGAAGAGAAAAGGGACGGGGCAAACAGAGGCGGCGAACGAATAAAGAATGTCTACTAATATCGGTGACCATTCTATAAATGGAAGGATTGTGAGAGCGTACATAGTAGCGAAGGCAATGGGCATCACGGCGATCAGACAAGGATGGAACATTCGCTTCTGTATAGAGGCTCTCAACAGGGAAGAGCAAAAAGCACCAAGGCACAAACGTAATCCTTGGTGATGGATAGAGTTAAGGCTAGAGAGAGTAGCAGGGGAGGCCGCGGAATAAATCTGGTCACCATAATCGAGTTTCGATAAAACGAGGGCTGAATGTAGGCGAAGCAGAGTTCGACGATCAGCTCCCCAGGAAAGATGAGCAAGGGTTTTAAGAAGGTTTAGCCGGCTGTGACAAGTTGCCTTCAGAGAGGTAATGTGAGGCTTCCAGGATAACCGACGGTCAAAGAGAAGGCCCAGAAACCTGACTGTATCACGT